GTTACTGCGCTGCCGCCGCACGATAACTTTAATTTAGCTTAATGGAAATTTTAGCTGGGAAACGCTTCAGTTGATTGTTGTTGTAGTTGTTGCTGGGTTATCCTTTGGCGCACAGCGTCCGAGTGTCTGAGTGTCCAACTGTCCGATTGTCCGACTGTCCGAGTGGCAAGCGCGCTTAGTAGGTGACGCAACCGCAAATTTGCGGCAAGCGATTTAATAATGTTAATTGTGTGCGTGCATCTGTGGCCAAAGCCATAAATGTATCTGAATCTTTATATGTAACTGATGCTGATTGTTGTTGTTGCTGTTGTTGTTGCATCTGCGAGTCACGTCATCGTTGCCGTCATCATCAGCAATGCCGCACCATTTACGTCGCCGGTAAATCCCCCACTCGCCCCGCCCAACTCCATGCCCCAAGCTCCCAGCGTATTAGTTAGCTAGTGCAAACAAGTGCAAGTGATGCGCACTCATTGATAAGATTTTGTGCAACACTCTGGCTGCAGCTACAGCTGTTTGTCGTGTTGCTGTTGTAGTTGTTGGAGCTGTTGCACGCTTTGGGCATACATTAGCCGCAGCTCGACTCTCCACTCTCGAGAGTCGCGCGTAGTAAATCCACCATATATAAGCATGTGGCACGTTTCGAGTTTGTAAATCTGTTAAGCAGCCCAGTCAATCGGTCAAGCGAGCCTCTGCTGTTGTTGCTGTTGCTGTTGCTGCCGCTGTCCGTGCTGTCCGTGCTGTCCGTGCCACACAGCGATGGTCAATGTCTTGCGCTTGTCAATTTGTCAGCTGGTTTTGAATGGTTTGACAAATTTGTCGAGTCAATAGTTGGACACCAAGCAAGGACGCCAAAACACTCGATGAGACACACACATTGTGGATACATTCGAACTGAAGAGTTCAAGCAACAACTTATTTCCCATGGGATAGTGGCATGCGAAATATAAGATCGAAAATGTCTACAAGTTCAGAAACAGTTATTGCTGAATAGGTTCGTTGAGATATTAATATAAATAAATGCGGGTAAGCTGCATGTTGTATTATAAGACCTTATAAGACTTAGAACTTCGAACATTATTAAACAAATCTTATCATTATCTCATATATCTCCATATGGGACATATTTATGCTCTTTGTCATATCTCCCCATCTCATTGCAGCTCTAAACTGAAAATCCCTTTAATATATGTACCTTATTTAAAGTGTCGTCATATGAAGAAGTTTTAATAAGTGAATGTAATATCAGTAAAATATAAATACTAACTGTATGTATGTATAAATAATCTAATATATTGTTGATGACAACTGAACAGAATGAAGTAAATTATGAGAAGTTCTTAGATATTGGCTGTTATATGTGTATATCTAAGGTATTATGAACTCTTGTTAATAGAAGTTTATTAATTCACTGGTCGATCTCTTCGCCATTGAAAGCTTCGACCACGAAGTTGTTTTTCCGTCTTAAAGTCGTGACTTTAGTCGATTAACCATGCGCGACAAGTTGGGCGCCCTCTGAGCTGCTTACCTGCTGAATGGCTACCTGAGCGTACCTCTTTCTCTGTGGGTGTATGTGTGTGTGTGTGTGTGTCAGTTTCCCAAATGGCCATGCGGCATTTTGTTTACATTTTTGCGTCAAGGCTGTGCAAGAGGAGAGACTTTTACGTGAAGGACAAAAGGAGCAGACAGCGCGGCGAATGGATGGGGATGGGACGGAAGGGTGCAACCCTTAAACGGCTGTTTCCCTTCGCTTTTTTGTTGTTTTATTATTATTTAAACTTTATCATTGAGAGGTTTTCGCTTTCCGTGGTGCACTTGACCGCCAAGCAACAAGTATAAGAAGCAAGCAAAATTAAAAAGCCAGCAGCCAGCCCAAATGGGTCGCAAAGGATAATAATGCCATTAATGGAATGGAGCACACACAAACACATAAGCAACACACATGTTGAGAGGGAGAGGGAGAGAGAGGACGAGGACGAGGACAATGACGATGACGACGACAACGACAACGTCGACGCGTCGCAAGTCGGGCCCCCAAAGGCATTTTTATGGCAGCAGACATATACGAGTATGTGCGTGTGTGTGTGTGTGTGTGTCCTGCCTGGCACATGCATGCAAATAAAGCAATGCAACCACAGCAAGTAAACCACAACGAACGAATGAACGACCAAGTCGCGTTGCGCCTTCGCGTTTTCATTCATAAAATCGAAGAGCAAAGAAAATGGCACAGGAGGCTGCCTATAGCTCTGCCACTGCCCCGGTCTCAGCCCCAACCCCTAGCCCCACAGCCACATGCCTCATGCCTCATGCCTCTCGTTCAGCCTTGCCGAACTGCACTGTCTGTGGGCTGTGGCACAGCTACCAATAACTCAAAAGGCGTGCGCATGCAGCGCACTTGTGTTAATGTATCTGAAAGTGAAATCAAACAACAACAAGAAGAGGAGCCAAAGCTAGACCCGATGCTAATTCCGGTGTCGGAGTCGAAGCCGGGTCCGGGTCCGAGTCCGAGTCCGGGTCTGGGCCCATGCCGGACCGACGCCAATTTAAAACTATTTGTGCCGCAACAACAGCAACAGCAACAGTGATATCAACGCCAACGTCAACGCCGACGCCGACGCATCGATGCTCTCAGCGCGCTGTCAACGTCGCTGTCGCTGTCGCCGCTGCTGTCATAGTCATCGGCGTCGTCGTCGCCGTCGCTGTCGCTGTCGCTGCTTGCTCAATTAAGTGAATTAAGTCTCGTGTCGGAATTTGCACCACCCTAAAAAACAATAACAACGCACACACACACACACACGTTTACACACTCACGCACACACGCATACTATGCCAGCTATCAAGAACAATTAAAAACGAGGCGCAGGGCAAATAATGAGAGCAAATTTTTTGCGTAAATTTATGCACATGTGCCGAAGCTAAGATGCCCTTACAAAAGAACAATCCTATTTCAGTGAAATTAATTATGTATGTATATATGACTATATAATTTTTTGATTTGTAAGAAGCGTAATGAAAAGTATCTCAGACCACCCTATATATGATTGCTATAATCGTTGCTATACTATTTATTTTAAAGTCAAGAAAACAGTATACTCTTCAAATAGAAACTATGCAGCTGATATAAATAAAAACAAATACAACTAATAAAAACCTAAGCTTATTTTCCTGTAAATTACTTCACGAACTCATGATGCCTTTTCTTATAGCATGTGCACAAACGGCTGCCGCATCCGAACTAAGAAATTAATACAAATCTGATGTCGACTGCGGCAGCAACAGCGACGCCTCGGCTGGGATTGGGACGACAGCAGCGACGCTGGCGTTTTACAACACGCTACTTTAGCCGCTAACGAAAGAGAAAACTTAATGGGCAGCGACGTCGGCAGAGATTGAGACTGAGACTGAGTCCGCGGCGACGTCCACTAAAAGTTTGTTGCTGTTTTTTTTTTTTTTTCTCTTATTATTCTTCTTTATTTATTTATTTACTTTTTTACTGTTTCCTTTTGTATATGTGTGTGTTTGTGTACGTTGTGTGCCGAGTACTGCTGAGTGTCTGTAATTAATTAAACGGCCGCAAAGTCAGCTGTCTGCGACGCGGCAGCGACGTCGCTACGTCAGCGTCCAAACAATTGTTGCATTAGACAGTGAAGACGTCGACGCCAGCTTAGCCGGCAGCGGCGTCAGCACCTATTTAGCATATTGCGTTAACGCAAATGTGTGCCAATAGATGGCGCTGCATGATGGTAGCGCCAGCACGTGCAACTTTTTGCATTGTTTACATGTCAGAGGAGCTCAACTGTTGTTGTTGCTGTTATTGCTGTTGCTGTTGTGCTTGCTGTGATACACGCTGTAGGAGTAACTGTCCCTACGTTTGTGTCGGTGTCTGTGCCTGTGCCCGTTATTATTATCCTGCCTGCAACAAAGGCCAAGTTGCACACATGGATATGCATATGTGTGCACACACAGATACTCACGGAGCGACGTAGACCCAAAGCTAACCAGCCAACCCGCCACCACCAACCACCCACCCACGCACGAGCAACATACACTGGCAATGCCAATAAGTGTAGGCGGCGCAGAAAATTCCGTATTGAAACCACATGTTGAAGCTTCAGTCAGCATTTACGCGCATTTCTAAGTAAAAGGTGCAACACACAGCGCGGCACACACAAAATATGAAAGCTAACCATAGAGTGGGAGAGGGCGACAGAGAGAGAGAGAATCGAATGATTCACCGAAAAATGTAAAATGCTTATGAATGGAAACGTCAGCTGCGTTCGGTTTAGTCGGGCAACACAATCTGTTATCAGCGTTGAGTGAACTTGAGACAAGTTCATGTTGCACTGATAAGCCAGTCCAGGGGCTCGATAAAACTAATTGCAAACCCCAACGTGAATAGATAAACTATGTCTAGCTTGAAAGCTCGCGAGCCGCTGGATCGTTGAGCTTAAAAGCTGTGCTATATGTAATAAAGTTTATTCTATTTGATATTCATCGTTGACATTATGAATTGGTAGTTTGTCCAATAAACTGGACGAAATCAGATCTTATTCTATAGTAGAGGTGTTTCTCAGAATACTCAGAGTTACGAATGATGTTATTTTGAATAAGATATTTTGCTAGTTATTGAATGATTGAAATCAATATATTTAATACAATATACATGGAGAGTATATCCTTTATCATCGTATAATCATACTCCAATACTATGAATGTTTCAGAAATGACAAACGAAATTAAAGGTCCTATGCTTTTGTTATGATCAGCTCGCACACAGGAAAACCTTTATGCGAGAGCCTAGTCGAGAGCGCAGGTAGTTTTCAGGTACAATTCTTTGATTAATGAAGCCCGCCAGATCGCAGCTCCAATTGGCACTCGATTTCAAACTAACTGTTCGCCAAATCTTAAACTGATTTTTGATAACTGATATTGATGTACATAAGTACATAGGCATATAGGTAAGTCAGTAAATGCTGTTTGATCTATGATCTATGACGACTCACCTCTGTGCACATTTTCGGCCGAGCCGTTTCAATAGATGTAGGATAACTGTGTTTATCCAATTTTTCCAAATAGCCAATGGCTGTAGCAGGAAAATAACTAAAATATAGTTGCAAAAGCTAGCACCTGGCTTTTCGTTGTATTATCGTCACTGTTACCAGTTTATTTGTATTATATTATGTTAGATTTAAGTCACTAGATATACATGTATCTTCAGCGGAGTTTTACAGGGCAACCAGCAGTAGATGCATGGAGCCAGCCGCATGGTCCACCACATCACAAGGAACAGATGACATTTTGGTGGCACTATTAGTACGTAGAACTTCTTATTGTTTTCTCTGTGATTCACTTTTTAATTGAAAAATATATATTTATTTATATATTTTTTAGTATTGCCAATCGAACTACTTTTGTATTAATTGTATGCACACACTTTTTAGATTGCAATGTTATTTGGAGGAATATTATTTGTGGTTTGTTTTGATAACTTTGAATTACGCGCGCTGCTGCAACTACGGGACAAGAAATTTACGTCGAATTCTTTTCGTATCGTTTTGCGTTCGACACGATTGCAAGAGCGACGTGTACCTCAGTCTGCCATGCTAAAATCACAAATAAACTGGCCAGCGCTCAAAGAAGCAGGCAGCAGGCAGCAAAACCAGCAACGACGCACGCATACAGATGTAAGCAAACACATACACGAGCGCACGTACACAAACGCTAGCTACAGATACTTTTAGTAAATGCACCCCTGTACAGGGTACACTCATACAACAGCATGAACGAGCCGAGCAAGCGAACGAACTAGCGAACGAGCGAGCAGACGAACGAGCGAACGAGTGAGCATGACAGCCGCTCTGCTCGCACCAGGGCAAGCGAACGACGCGCACTTATGTAAAAAGCATTGAAATTGAACGAGTTTGTCGGTTGTCAGCGAACGGGGAGGGTAGCGACGGCAACACTCTGGCTGCTGGCATTGCCAGCTGCATGGGAAATGTACAGCATTGCCAGCATGATAATTTCAGTGAAATAAAGACAACCAGCAACAGCAATAGCTGCGAACCCAAAGCCAAAGCGATATCGCTGCGAACGTTGTGCAAACGGCCCCGGCTGCCGGCCGTAGGAGTGGCAGTGGCATCAGCAGCGGCTGTTATTTAAACGCTGCCAGTGCTGCCAGATCTGGTGTGCCGTTGAGGTGTAATATTTGAAAGTCTTTCGATTGGATTGTATAACTATCTGCCAAAACACTCAAAGGCATTTGATACAGTACCGAATTTTAGCTGACCTAGCAACTTAAGTACCATATGTTAATACGTAAAGTAGTTTTACATTCCAAGCACAGATCATGAATAGATCAGATATTATTATAAGTAAGGCTATTGTAAATATTACTATTATATTATTTGTTTTATTATATATAAAGGAATTCAGTTGCTTTCATGAAATGAAAATGAAAATAAGATAAAAATGTTATATTTTCTAACTCTGGTCTGTAACATATACATGTATGAAGCATATAATAAATAATAAAGAGATATATTAGACAACTGAATACAATTTTATCAATTGCTATCATTTCTAAAATATATATGTAAATTCAATTGGGGTTTCAGCTACAAAAATAACTTAAACTCGAAATTCGGTCCTATTGTCTGAGTTTTTCGATTCCCATGTTTTGACGATTCAGAACAGTATGGCAACTCTATTCAGCGCTGAGTAACTGTCTACACACACAAACGCACACGCATACAATATATAAATTTATATATATGTATATATATAAATGTGTGCATGCGTGTGTATATAAGCATGTATATTGCGTTTGTGTGTTGGCAGTCTTGTCAGTTGGGATTTCGTGTAGTGTTGTGCTGGGTCGTCGTTTATATAAAGGTACATTTCCACAGCGCACACACACACAGGGGAGAGACTGACGCATGCATGTGTGTGTGTGTGTGTATTTGTGTGCATGAGTTTCGCTGTGGTATGTGCGAAGGCAACGCAAAGTGGAAGCAGAAGCAAAACTGAAAACTGCCGTCGTAGTTGCCGTTGCCGTCGCAGCGAAAACTAAAACTGAACTCGAGCTGTGGCTGTGGCTGTTGGGCGGACGATGGTGCTGCTACTGAGGCCGTTGCTGTTGCCGTTGCCGTCGCTGCTTTGTTCAACATTTTTGTTTATTTCAGCGCTGTAGCTGTATCTCTCTGTTCGCTGCATTTGTATCTGTATCTGCGAGTGCTGCTTGGGCATTTGGGCACGTCGTCGTCCAAGTTACTGTTGTTGTTGTCGTTGTCGTTGTTGTAGCTGTAGCCGTGCCAGGTACTTTTTGGCTGTTGTTTTTAGCTCGTCGCCCGCTTCGTGTGCGCTCTGTGCTATTTTATGCGTCGAACTGACTGACTGTCTCGCTGGCTGGCAGGCGAATGGTGTATGTTGTTGTTATTGTTATCATGACGCAGCAGCAGCAGCAACAGCAGCGGTGGCAGCGACGCTATCGCTGTGCGAATTTCGCCTTGAAACATTTTTGCCGTTCGCTTTGCTACTGCATGAGCGCTGCTCTATGCTAGCGCTGATATTTGTTTGCTTCTTCTTGTAGTTGGGCCAGTTTATCTTTTGGCCAAAAAATTGCATTTATCCAATCGGAAAGCAAATCGCGCGCCAATTCTAATTCGCTTGCCGAATTTTGACTGAAGGTCAGCGCAAGCGGCGCTAGCAGCGACGCCAGCATTCGACTCTCAGTCTGACATCCAGTGCGATATCGCCATAGCCATCGACATCGACTTTGACTTCTTCTGCAGGCTGCGGACAAACGACGACTGACTGCGCGGACTCTAAACGGGGTGCCGCTTGAAACTGAACCTGAACCAATTTCTCGGCATTTGTATTTCGCTTTTGTTTTTATTTCCCCATTGTATCAGCCTCTGCCTCTGCCTTCGCCTCCGCCTCCGCCTCCGCCTCCGCCACTGCTGCTGCGGTTGCCCGATGCGTGCGCCGCTGTCGCCCGTTGGCTCACATGATGTCATTATATTTGGCAAGGCAGAAACCAAACGGGACTCCTTGCAGCCTTTCTACCAAAGTACCCTGTGCCACAAGCCGACAAGTGCATGTTGACCTCTGACTTAATGTTTGTCAGGCGTCCGACAAGTATCTCGATCTCCTATGAGAATCACTGTTGGAATAACAATTGTTCCGAAATGTTTCAATATTGAAATAATGTACGGATTATTGTTGGCATTATTATTATATATGCTATTACTATGTTCATTGACCATATTACTATGCTCGCTTCTAATGCTTATAATGGAAATTTACTAAATATGTACAAATGTATATGTATATCTCTATATTTGATTCCAGTACTGATCTATCATTCTTGTAAGTTTTCCTTTCGTATTAAGATATATGTATAAAGTTTGACATCTAGTTTTGAATAGGATGACTCTGGTCATCATAGAGACATACGTTTATATGTTTATGGCTCCCTTATCCAATATGCCAATTTCATTATATGTCTCATATTGGTACTAGCATAGCATAGTTACTAGCATAGCCCCCAAATGTTCGTATCCCTCCATGTTGCACTTAGCTTCAGGTGTGCTTTGCAAGGTATTTAGCCGTCGGGCATGCAACCTTGCTCCTTGCCATTTTATTTCGTATTTCTTTTTTTTGTAATTTTTGTTTTGTTTTGGTTTTTTTTTAGCCGTGTCGGGTGGTTGTTTAGTTTAATTCGTGACGGCGTCGTTGAGCAGCAAACTTTTCACGTGAGAGTAAAAGCGGCGTCGCCTGGCGCTCTAAACGTTGTCGTCGGCGTCGGTTCGCTAGATGCTGCGCGTTGTCGCAGCCACTGCCACAGCCGCTGTCGACGTCGCCGTCGCTGTTGGCGCCGACGGCGCTGGCGATTTGAATATGTTATGATGTTGCATGCTGCTAACTGGTTTGGTCTATACTCGCGTATTATTCTCTATTGCGTTTACTTCCGAGTTCAATGCAAGCGGTGTTGGCGTTGGCGTCGACGTCGGCGCTGACGTTGACGTTGCCGTTGCTGTTGCCGTTTGATGGTGGCAGCTGCGTTGTGCAACCGCCCACACGCATGTTCATCCAACGCCTCTTGGCGTGTGTGAGTGCGTGTGTGTGTACGTGCAAATATTTTTGCTTTGCCAGCACTTGCACCCACTTAGAGGCAATGGCAACCCCATCGAACCACCTCGCGCCCCCACCCACACAGTGCCCGCTGCGATTTGCCCACATCTGTCTCCATTGAGTGCTAGCCGTTTTGCCGGCACTCTCAAACGCACACACACATGTTGCATCGCTTTTAGATTTAGACGGGTTTTCAGTCACAATAACAACAACAACAACAACAACTACTACTACAACAACTGTAGTAAAAACTTGGGCATAAAAAGCGCGATCGTGTTGCAAAACAGGTGGCAAAGGCAGCGTCCAACCAGGAACCATCCTGCATATTATTTTTATTTTTTCTGCTCACCTCACGACTTGGACTTGTTGCGACTAAAAACCCATTGAAAGTGGTAAGGCATTGTTTTTGTCTTTTTGAGAATGCTACAAATACAACATGGCACACTTCAAATCGCAATAAGTTTGTCCAAATACAACATGCTACAAATACAACATGGCACACTTCAAATCGCAATAAGTTTGTCCAAACTATGGGTAGTAATTAAGCCTTTAAATATATTTCTTATCTCTAATTACTATTCTTATGTAAGAGAGATGATATCATTTAGCTTAGCATTGTATGCACATGTGGAACTCATGTACTGGAAATTGGATAAGCTGATAATTCTATGCTAAAACTGTCTTAAAATTTAGGCATTACTTATTTCGTAATATGCAGGATGATCTCCGGTTGTCGGACACCCACTGCCATGAGAACACATCTGTCCAGTGCATGGATTTTACTGAATATGCATATAATTAGCAGACTTCGGCAGCTAAGGCTTTCAAATGATCCGATCACTCCAAAAGCAGAATGTGTCCTGTTATTACAGGCAAAAGGGGTCAAGATAAGATTATTCTAATTAGCTTTGAATAAAATCTACCATAATTTATTAAACTCTAAATGAATATCATACATATACGTATGTACATATGTAAGTAAATATGTATATACATACATATATATAATTTTTATTTACTATTTACATATAAACCATACTTGTGTACATTTATTATTATACCGATTTAGATGGAATGCTTAAAAGCATTATTCCTTGACTTCGTTAGTTTAATTCATTCATTTTAAGGCTACAACTATTTGGTTCTGCCGCTGAAATGTAAAGTTCCATTAACTATTTTACTTAAGTTTAAAAACTATTTGACTATTAAACCAACAATTTAGAATATTGGTCATAGAAATTCAGCCTAAGGCAGCCCGTATTCTTATGTAACGTTAAATAAGTAGTTTCAAATACTCATACCTTTGTACTATATATTCATATCTACATATGTATACATACATATATAGATGTACATATGTATGTATGTAAGCTCATTCTTAGTTAATTTTCGATTCCAATAGTAATTTGAAAGTCTTCTGTAACTATTTTTGGAATCAAGATTTTGAAAATTCGCAATGATTCCACCATTTTTTTTTC